AACTTGTCAACGAAACTTTTTTAAGAAGAGCGGAACGTGACTTAGTCTTTTTTTTTAAGTTAGTAAACGGTGTATCTGATTGTGGCTCGCTTTGAAGTGATGTTAATTTACATGTTCCCTCCCGACCCACTAGAAATCATTGTACTTTTTACATTAATACTGTCTGTGATCTCTCGCCTTTATCACGCTGCCAACTGCTTTTTAACCGCATCAACAATGCTGAAGTGGATATATTTAGCGACTCTCGGGTGTTCGCGATGAAAATGAAACTACTTGTTGCCAATTCGTAACGTTTGTGTATTTTTGCCGTGTCTCTGTTATTTTAATTCCTCATTTATTATGTGTACCAAAGAAAAGACCTGTTGGTTGTTTTTGGGCACTTGAAAATAAATATTTATTATTATTATTATATATGCTTTTATAAGCTTCCAAGCCAAAGTTCCAGTCCACGCATCCTCACTCGGCTGATTCGAATACCAGCCGAGGGCGAGAGTAAATCACATCGACGTTTAACAAAAGTGACGCCAAACTCCCCAAAGAACATTTTTTGTTGTTAAGTGCAAATAGATAGACACTTTTAACGCAGAATAAAATTTTCACTGAAGGAAAATTTAAAATTTTTACCACAATATTTACGTTGTAAAACTTGTTCAAGCGATTTTGAAACGTGCACTTTTATTTCAAAATAAAAGAAATTTTAAAAAACACTTAATTTTTTTATTTTTGTAACGCAGATTGTGTTTTAGGGTTTGCTTCCAAGCTTAGGGCATTGCGAAATGTTACGGAAATGGGATGCCATGGCCAGCTCTTTGTGCAGGACTGTTACCCAGCAGAAATCGAACCGCCGACCTCTCGTCCAATAATACAGTGTAGACCGCATATAACATATGTCGCGGGAGTCACGAAAATCCGCACTATAAGCGGTACCGCGCTATAACCAAAACATCAATTTTTCAGGCCAAAATACATGCCATGAGACAACTTACCTTTGTAAAAGAATTTATTTTATGTTAGATGAAAAATAAAGCTTAGTTTGAGGAAAGTCTTTATTTCACCAGACTAGTACACTTCTCTCTCAAGTGTGTCACACATTTTGAAAGAAATAAGCGACTTTTGCCTGGCGCAGCCTTGTAGCGGCGTCGCGGGTTGTGGACGGACGTTGCGAGCATTCAGAATTGCTAGCCCTAATCACTTTTCTCCGGTGATGAAAACGCGTGAAAATTCGCATCCTTTATACGGTACGCACTAGTAATACCTTCAACTTGAGCACAGGCATGAACTGCTCCAAATAAGAAACCCGGGCGATGTTCGAAAACACAAACGCTTAGAAATCACCACTGTAGTCGAAGTAAACAAACACGACGACACGGGCGTTTCTGCCGTCTTGAGTGTGCCGCCACGACATCGCCGCACGAGTAGGTGGACCTTCCCTTTTAGTACAGTTGGGGACACAAGTTCCCAGTACGCGCGAGCTGCGACTGAAACGCATTGCTCTGCCATCTGCCGGCGGGTCGCTTGGTTTCGAGATCACACAAAAGTGCATGCGCGACCTACTGTGCCTGCAAGCATGTGTGTTTTCCCGCTTTTCTGCGGCGCTGCGCCTAACTCGGAATCTGGCGCGTGGTACCACCTCAGAGATAGCGCTTACTGACATGGCACCTATTATTTTCTTCTTAGTGCTGCAAATGTCACTGTGGGGGCCTGTGGCTTTGCCAAGCTGGTCTTGTGACCGCTTTTTCCACACGCCTCCAGTATCATGTACAGTGTAGACCGCATATAACGTATGTCGCGGGAGTCGCAAAAATCCGCACTATAAGCGGTACCGCGTTATAACCAAAACATTAATTTCTCAGGCCAAAATACATGCCATGAGACTACTTACCTTTGTTAAAGAATTTACTTTATGTTAGGTGAAAAATAAAGCTTAGTTTGAGGAAAGTCTTTATTTCACCAGACTAGAACAGTTCTGTCTCAAGTGTGTCACACATTTTTAAAGAAATGAGCGACTTTTGCCTGGCGCAGCCTTTTAACAGCGTCGCGGGTTGCGGACGGACGTTGCGAGCGTTCAGGATTGCTAACCCTAATCACTTTTCTCCGGCGATGAAAACGCGTGAAAATTCGCATCCTTTATACGGTACGCGCCAGTATACCTTCAATTTGAGCACAGGCATGAAATGCTCCAAATAAGAAATCCGGGCGATGTTCGAAAACACAGAAAGCTCCACTCTAGTCGAAGTAAACAAACACGACGACACGGGCGTTTCTGCCATCTTGAGAGTGCCGCCACGACATCGCCGCACGAGTAGGTGGATCTTCCCTTCTAGTACGTGCTGGGTTATCATAACGACACACAACGAAAATTCACAGTCAAGGGTAGCGCTTTTACGCGGAACGATGAGCCTCCATCACGCAATCTACGTCGACAATCAAAACCAACGCCATGTTTGCGGATAGACGCAGCCGGCCCGCGACCGGAGAAGAGGAGAAGCGTTGTAATAGAGGTTGGGGGGGAAAGGAGAGAGCCAATAGTGTGTACGCACTGCCGGCATGCAACGCGCGCGAACACTTCTCCTCGACCTGCGATTGGTCTGTCGATGCGGTTGTTTCCAACCATCGCAGCGGAGGGACGCGCGCACGAGAACGACACGTGCATGCGTCCCTCCGTCGCTATGGCGACTGTAGCCTCTCTCTTCGCATCTCCCGGTTTCTTCGAGCAACCTCCTTGCCCCGCGAGTGCCGCTCGCGGCTCGAGCCGTTATCTAGCGCCGCAAAGGGAAGCGTGCTCGCTGTGCCGGTCAGTCGGCACGGCTGCCGGGCTCTTCCAGAAACCGCACTATAACCGGTATTTCCCTTCGCGCGCCTGCATTTTAAGCGGTATGTAAATACATGGAGTTCTATGGGAGGCGAACCGGTGGTTTAAAAAAGCCGTGTTATACCCGGTCCTGCACTGTAAGCGGTTACGTTGTAAGTGGTCTATACCGTACGCTGTATTTGATGCAAATAAAAATCAACAACAACAAGTAAAGAGTCACGGCTGCTCAACTGAGCGATAAGCTCAGCTGGTTATAAAGGAAGATGCGCCTACACGGCGCAATGCTGCAGGCGGTATCTCCAGTTTTGGAATGTGTAGCAGACGCTCGCCAGCCGCAAACACTATCTCTGAGGTGGTACCACGCGCCCGACTCCGAGTTAGGCGCCGTGCCGCAGAAAAGTGGAAAAACGCACATGCTTGCCGGCACAGTAGGACGCACATGCGCTTTTGTGTGATCTCGAAACCAGGCGACTTGCCGGCAGATGGCAGAGCAATGCGTTTCAGTCGCAGCTCGTGCGTCCGGGGGACTTTTGTCCCCGACTGTACGTGCTGGGTTATCATAGCGACACATAACGAAAATTCACAGTCAAGGATAGCGCTTTTACGTACGTGGAACGATGAGCTTCCACCACGCCGTCTACGTCGACAATCATAACCGACGCCATGTTTGCGGATAGAAGAAGCCGGCCCGTGACCGGCATGCAACGCGCGCGAACACTTCTTGGTCTATACTGTACTGGGGTGCCTACAAGAAGCCTTCGACCAACGCGTTTGGCGTCCCATTCCAGCCACGCGTTGAAAACTGTCCCGAAGTGGCAATGAAGGACGTCACAAAAGCCAGAGCGTCGTGCCGTTGGACGTAGAAGTTCCGGAAAAATATAGAGCCCTTCCACTTCACGTGAAGATGGAGGATCAGCGACGCTGTTACACTAGCGAAGCTGTTACCTTTACAATGTCTGAGACAGTGCCTAGAGGACAACGCCTTGGACATCCTCAAGGGTGACTTCTAGGACGACCTCGAGGATGACGCCTAGGATGACCTCAAGGACTACATGTAGGACGATTTCAAGGATGGCTTCTAGGACGACTTTGAGGACGACATCTAGGATGACCTCAAGGATGACTTCTAGGACGACCTCGAGGACAACCCCTCGAACGACCCCAAAGACGACGTCTAGGACGACCTCGAGGACGAAATCTAGAACGACGCCTGGAGAAATTCAGCCTTTCCACTCCTGTGAAAACCAGAGTGAAAAGGCTGGAAAGGTTGCCGCCGTCGCTTATAGGTGGCGGTAGCTGTCTGGAGTTTTGTGTCGACACACTGCTTGTCTGCGGACACAATACTGGGGAAATTAACCCATAACAGCTCCGCTGTAAAAAAAAAAAAAAAAAAAAGGCGCGAGAGAATGCGAGCGTTGTTGTCGTCGTGGTGTCTAAACAACCTGCCGAAGTTTTCGTGGACTCGAGCCGGAGGGCGATTTGCAGCGGAGTGGGCATCTGCGACATTCCGCACCGCTGCTACAACGCCACATGGATCGTGGCCGGCATCGGACGGAAATTGAGGGACCGCTTTTTTGGGCGCGGTATACACACCCGTGGGAGACTCGTTTCAGACGCCATAGCACAGTGCGATCCACTTGGAACGAGGATGAGAAAACCTGAAAATTTAATCGTTATAACCGATAAACAATTTACCTCGACTAGAAACTGAGCATTTTTAGTCTAGAAACTCCTGAAACCGACTGTTATAAGTCATACATTGTTACATGTGGTATCGTTATAAGTAAATTGCATCGTAGTGCCGTATCCCCTGCGCTGGCACAGCGGCCTTGATTAGTGCAGTGACGGTTGGTGTTGTGGCCGCAAGACTTTTGTCGCCCCGATGGTGCGAGGAGCTTAAAACGCACCGCACATTCTGCGTAATTTTTTTCCGCCATCTTCTCGCGTACGTACTTCGTGGAAGTGCGGTTCAGTTTCGTTCTTTCTTCTTCGCGCTACGTCTGGTACTTCCACTTTAGCGGTTGTTTTCGTTTTTAGAAAATGCGTTTTGTGACATGCTGTCCTATCCAGGCACTTCAAAAACTTTTTTGGGAAGTTCGGCGTCGTTTAACGGGTCGAGCGAAAAAGCGTGGCGACGGACTTTGAAGGTGCGCTGGAGTGGTGGCTCCTTAACTGTGCTCCGCGTCAGCTACTGGAACAGCCGCTATGCCCTGAGGCCCGACATGGTGCCGGACTTTCTCAGGCCCATCCAGGACAAGATCCTCATCACGGGGAAGTACCACAACGTCATCCTGCAGTGCGGTGAGTCCTCAGCAGCCAAACACGTGCCGCACCTTTCCGTCTGCACACATGAGTTGCCGCCGTCGACCTTAGGGAATTTTGAAGTGGATATCAGTATTATTTTTTTTCTGGTACAGACAGAGTCTGTGTGCTATAAGCATCCTAGAAAAGCCAAAATTACGATCAATCATGACCTTTTTTATATATATATACATTACTGAAACTTGCGAGCAGAACCTCATCATGTGAATTGGGCTTTTGCGTCCATTCTGCAGCATCCACGCGGAATGGATTGCCGTACATGTCTATTTGTGTGAAATTTTGCGGAGTATTGAGCCTCTTCATTTTACTGAGGCCACTAAAGTTCCTGTCATTGTTAGGAACAAGTAAAATTGGCAATTCCAATGAAACAACGATCACAGGGACTCGCACTAATGCCAACTACATCGCTTTCCAATGGCTTGTTGACGGGGAACTGCCGGCTTGCCAACACTCCGTTGCTCCTTTGTCTGCAAACATTAGTTGGTGCATAATGGTCTAAAGGTTCTACCATGGCGCATTTACTTCGTTGCCAACTCTGTCGGTGGCTAACGGCGACCGTGTGAACGCAGGCGAGAAACCGAAGTCGTCACCCGAAGACCGCCTGTGCTACTCTGTGGACGAGCGCGAGTATGGGGAGAAGATAGAGAGGTCGTACCAACTAGCCAGCCGCACTCTCCTGGACCTGCTCATGCAGAAGGTTGACCTGATGGGAAGGCTGAGGTGAGATCCTTTTGGTCTGTTTCCCTTTCAATCTCTTCTCTTTTGTTTTCTGTTTTGGGTTTCTTCTGCATTTTTTTAAAGTAACACCTGACTCCAAGAAGTCTTTTCTTTTTTTATTTGCTTAGACGAGATGGTGTGTGTTAATAAATAAGCTTTCCATGGAAAAAGAAATGTCTTTGCAGCGTCAGTTGTGTTAAGCTTGTTGTACTGGACAGTCCCAGTGTTGAAAAAAATGAATGAAGCATCTGCAGGCATGCGAGCGCTCATCGCAGTTGGTCAATTGGCTTTGGAGTCGGAAGAGGGTGCCACCTGCTCTTTCTCGCTTTCGGTCGCTGGGTCTCACTCTGGCTGTTGGGATCGAATGCATTAGTCATTCTGTGCATAATCTGCTTTGGTTTTTTTCGTTTGAGCCAGTGTCTTTGCCTGTTGCTTGCCGCAAGGTTCTTCCGTCATCATGCCTGAACAGTGAGCAGACTGACTTCAGGGTGTGGGCTACGTGCCTATGCAGTGCTCGTGCTGCACGAGCACTGCATCTCTCCACGTGCGATGGGTATGCAACCCGCCTTTGCCAGATGTGAGCATTTGGTATCTGCTCGGCACTCTAAGCTTGTCGCGCAAGGATGGGCAGCCGAAGCACACACCAGAGAAAGCAGACACTGCTCTACACCATAAATGCGCCCGTGAGAGACAGCGACGTTGATGTGCAGGCACCAGCTGATGCTGTCCATCCTCATTGAATCGCGTAATCGCCCGTGCAATTTTTTTGGAACAATATTTTTGTTACGAGACTTGATAGGGCAATTCTGAAACATGCTTCTATCCCGAGGTCAACATCTAAGAGCAACACTTTTATTGTAGGATCTGGTATCTGGCTGATGCCTAACCATATCCGGTTAGGTGCCAGCAACAGAAATCGACAGGCCGGCTGCCAGTCAAACGCTGCCACAGCTCTCGTCTCTTTGCCGTGCCGGCCGAACTTCTTCCTCGAGTGCCCCCGTGTAACTCCCAGCAGTGGGAGAAAAACATCTCGTGTTCAGACATGCAGTGACGCTTTGCTCCACGAAACGAGCCTGCTCCAAGTTTCCCCAGAAAAAAAAGCACAGTGAGAGCACCAGAAAAAAAAGCAGACGCCGTTTTGCTTTGAGTATTTGGTTCTCTTTTGCCGCGAGCCGGCGCCGAGGCTCTACTCGGTGCCGCTGCGTTCCAATCATTCCGTTTTCTTCATGCACAGTCTACTGCACCTCACAATTCAACAGGCTTAGAGAAAATAGCATTTGCACTGCAACCGCAGTAGGTGGCACCCACATGTGAGACATCTACAGAGCACTCGCGCGCTTTTCTTGCACTACAGAGGGCCGCTTTGCACCATCCAGTCTCCACATGTGTACACAGTTTCTCCTCATTAACACGCCACATTCTGTGTTACCACTGCCTTTGCCACGCTACTACGACAAAGGGGCGACTTCTTTGTTTTGTTTTTCCAACCCAGAATTTGTTTTACAATGTGTCTCACAATGTGTTTCACGTACGTGTTTCACAAACTCAATTTTATTTTTGTGGGGAAGGGGGGGGGGGGTCATATTTTGTGACACCCACATAAAACATCTGCAGCTTTTCGCCGCAGTGTGCAAAGAAGGGGCGACGGTAAGTCGGTGGGCACAGACGTTTACGCCCTGATTGGACACGACGAGTCTTGTACTTCCTCCTTGGAATGTGTCCCAAGTTTGGGGCGACCTTCTCGTGCACTCTCACTGAAATCCATGGGAGAATTGACGCTATTTGACGTAGCTCCTCTTTCATAAACACTCCTAGGCAGGCGCTGGCCCCGCAACATCGTTGGTGAGGACAAATAATTGTTTGTTACCCGTCTCCTCCCGCAACCTAGAGACGCCAAGCACAAGCGCGCCCGCCACCTCTCGACCAAGGGTTCGACTCGACTTTTCGGCCTATTGAGACGACAACGCTGCAAAAGCAGCTGGGAGGTCTTCATAACAGCTATCGCCGTAAAGCATAAATGCAAATTTGGCATTTCGGCGAGGGGAATCTGGTACGCCCCGCCTGAGGACCGAGGATTATTGTGGACCACCTAGTGATCTCTCGACGTGCAACCGAAATCTCGGTTAGCAGCGTCTTCTCCGTGATGACACCCCGTTGGATTGCGGGCACCTTGGCCAGGAGTCGAACCTGCTACCCAGGGACCCGTAGGCCAGCGCTTTGTCTCGAGTCCGTGAAACGCAGATTGACACCTGTTTTATTTACGAATGAAAAGCGTTTGTCCCGAGCTCCAGTTAGCGAAAGTTTTACCTGGTGCTAAGGGACCGGTGCCCCTTGCAGGTCGGTGAAGCACTTCTTCCTGATGGACCAGGGAGACTTTGTGGTCCAGTTCATGGACATGTCGGAGGAGGAGCTGAGCAAGGAGCTCGACGACATTGTGCCCACCCGGCTGGAGGTGCTACTGCAGCTGGCGCTCTCCACCAGCAGCGTGGCCAGCGACCGCTACAGGGACTGCGTCAAGTGAGGACGCGGGGTCGGGGCTTTTTCTCTCGCGCGGGAAGTGTGGTGCCTGGCGGTAGCACACGCGTGAAGCGCAGTGCCGGCGGTGGCACGGCAGCAGAGGTGGACGCAGCCGACACTGTAGTCGGGGTGACGGAAGTTTTGCCGTGTTCCAAGTGGCGGGGGTTTTGCCATAGCCCAAACGGAGGAAGGGCTGCGGACGAGACGTGCGGTCGCTGCTTGCACTGTAGAGATGTCTTTTCCCGCTTTGCAGGCACCAGGTGCTGGAGTGGAGTCTGCTGACGCAAGTGGAGAAGATCATGACGAGCGACAGCGCAGGTGAGGGGGCAGGGGTCCTTGCAACGATAGGTTTTACCCGAGAAAGTGAAGAACGCACATTCTTTTTCTGTCGTACGGTCCAACGCCAGTCAGCTTAGCGTGGCAAACTGGCATTAGCTCGGCCTCGGTTAATTCGGCTATCTATTGAATGTGATGGAGGTCGAGAGTCCTGGGAGGTTCCCACACATTTCTAAAGAAAAAACAATTTATCGAATTGAATGCAGAAGCCCTCTACGTCGTATAATCCGAGCACATGCAAGTGTGTCTTTCGCTGAGTGTTGCAAATACCGTGCAAGCCAAACTTATTTTCACAGCGGAGCTGTTAAGGGCTAGTTTCCCCAGGATCGTGTCCGCCGGATTAGAAATGATGACACCGAACTCTGGACAGCTACCGCCATCTATGAGCGATGGCGGCAACCAGACAACTAGTTGCCGCCGTAGCTCATAGATGGCAGCAACCTTTCTTCAGAGGAAAAAAAGTGAAAGGGGAACTAGCGGTGATGTGCAGAGCAGCGTGAATGGTTCCGCAACCACCGCGAAGCCGCTATTGCTTAAAGTTCCACTTCGTCGAGTGCTTCGAATTCCCTTGCAAAAGAAGAGCAGATCGCTCGCCTGGAAAGCCATCGCCAAGTACAGAAGCAGCTCCGCTTATCTCCCTTCTTCACCAGAGTGTAAAGGCTGAAAGTTCTCTTTCGAAATTGGACCTGTAAAAAGTTGAGCATCTTTTATACCAGTGTGTAGCAGAAAAACTACAACAGTCTCACAACAATGGGTTCTTGATGCTGGCTTTTCCTTTATAATTATAATGCTACACCGCACGGTAGCGTGCGGTAACAAACTTCCTATCAATAACCATAGAGCAGTTCGATCACGTGTTGCAATACACTAAAACCGAGATGGTGAGTGGCGAGTTGTGAGCCTGTGACACCAAGACATCAATACTGTAAACGCTGATCTTCCAAAGCTTGACGGTCGCCGTGCGCGGCTCACTTTTTAGAGCACTAATGATCAGGCAAAGCACTAACACGATATCTCCATCACCCTCAAAAGTATTCTGCCACAAACAGTGACGTGGCCGGTGCGTAAAACGCGCTCGCCCACCACAAAGCTTTGAGAGTTGAGGTTTTTGCAACTTTTAAATATCAGCATGCTCGTTTTCCTACCGCTCATCAACATCTCCGTCACCTGTAATATGCTGCCCTAACCGCTTCGCATTTGTAGAGAAAGAAATCATTTTTAGCGCGCTGATGAGCGTCGGTGAGCAGGCAGACGGGAAATCCTGGAAAATAAATCCCAGTCTCTTCCGCCATCTTGGAACTACCACCGCACCACCTTATAGGGCATTGGAGTTGCAAATATTTAGCGCAAAACCCGAAGCGGTTTATAAATATACCGTAATATCTCGAGGGATGCCCCACCCCAAAAGATGACCCGCCCCCTGTTTTTGGCAGGAACACCAAAAGATAGCCCACTGTAATTGCAGGGCCCTGGCCAATGGTGACCTCGGCACAAATGGTGTCACTTAGCCGCGACGGGAGATAAGTGAACGTTGCTGACTGAAAAGGACAGTCGTCTTCGGTTCATCGCCTCTCCCTTCAATCGCAAGTTTCGCAGGCCACAGGGTCCAAAACTAGCCTTTCCTAAACTTTGTTTGATCGCACATTGAAAGTTAGCTCACTCCATATTTTCACCAGATGTGCTTTCGCTTTTAAATGGCTTATTTCTCAAGACATTACGGCACGCCAATTCAATTTTTCCGCTAAATGTACCGGAATGTGGTTTGCCACCGAAAAAGAAAGCAGGAAAACCTGAATTTGCGCGTAGTCATCCACCGATCCTATTTCTCCCCTAAATTTAACGAGGAAATGTGGATTGGTGTACTTTGTTACACATCCATTCAATGTACGAAGAATTTGTGCGAAAACGGTGCCGCCCCGAGGCGGACCGAGAGCACCGAGCTTGACGGGCTTCCGAAGAGGTGCAAAGGATCTCAAATGTTATCGCATTCCCTTTGGCAGAAACTAAAAAGAAGGCATCGCCTTTTTTTTTTTTTTTTGCACTTGTCATTTGTGTTTTTTTTATTTGTTGCCGTTCTCAAACGAAGGTCAACGTCGTTTCCTCATGTGTGTCGTTTTCTTTTTCTGCCGCGGCTCGTGCAGTCCATGGGACAGTGTGCCAGGAGAGCATCAGTGGCCATGAGGCTTTCACGCTCAACTACGAAGTCAACTGGCCTCTCAACCTAGTGCTCAGCACCACGGCAAGTCGTCCCCTTTACCTTTGTGTTTCAGGCGCAAGAGCGTGCATCTTTTTGCACGGGGTTTCTAATATTGGGGGGGGGGGGGGGGGGGGGGAGGGGGGAGGGGGAGGGGGAGGGGGAGGGGGTATTTACAGAAAACAGAAAAAAAAAAAACCAACAGATCAGTGCAAGGAAATATGAAACGCCTGATGTCTATCATTCTGCATTTGCGATCGTTTTTCTCTGACACCTCGTTAGATACTAGCAACGCTGCCGTGTCATTGGCATGCCACCGCAAAGCCCAAACTAGCAATGAAATGCTCCTAGTACTCCTTTTTGTTAGCTGCTACTACCTTACTTACATCGTGTTTTTTTTAATTATTTTTACACGCTGGTGTTGCATTCTCAGGAAGCAAACATTGATTTATTGCACCAGGTTGTGTCGGAGAGGAAACGCATATAACCACAAACCACTCCTCTATCCCGTCGCACTCTGTTTCGTTTTACGACAGACTGCGGTGGACACTTCGAGCCAGCGTAGCCACTCCCATGCAGCGTGAGTGTCACGTTACCTTGGGAAGAGGTGCATCGACACACGAGGCACACAGTCGCGCGATGCGTCTACAATGCTGGATTGACTGGGGATGGCTCATAGGGACCGTCGCGATTCATTGTAAGATGAAACGGAGTGCAGCGATGTGTTTTAAGTAATCGTGGTATGGAGGCCATTCCTGCCTGGTCCATGAAACATGGTCCATGAAACAAAACATTCTCAGATAATGCTAAAGGTACACCCATGCAGAGAGCTTATATTGAGTTTTAGTAGATCTTTCTGGTAATGATACGGAGGCTTCGGAACGGTCTACTAAAACTCGATAGCTCCAGCTCGTATGTGACCTCGTGTGGCTTCAAGGGCTCTATCTTAACTGAGGGAAGTTGCAGAATCTGAACAACTGTCTTGTGCACGATGATTATGTATGAAGAGTAAAGTATACTTCGTTTCAGCTTTCGTCCGAGTGCAGCCAAAGGGTTCGCAAGTTCGAGAAGAGCATTCCTACGCATCGCAAAGTAGTCCGCGAAAGTAATTTTTTTTAAACAACTGTTTTGTGCGTAAATGTCGCACAATATTCCAGATGTGTACTGCTGAGAATGATTTGCAACTAAAGGAATGAAATAGCTGAAGTTTACGTTTTAATTAATATATGTAAATGCATGTGGTTTGGTGAAAACACATACATCCGCTGGCAACACGGCTGCAGCGCTCGGTTGTGATTTCGTTCCCGTAATGGCCGAATCATGTGCTTCGCTGCTTGTTCGTTGCTTTCCTCACCGAGTCGCTTCAAAACGTCCTTTTGCAAAGGCGTGTTGGGCATCAGGCGCAAGAGGTCGTGATGAATGTCTACTTTCCACTTCGGCAGGAGACTTCGGCCGCGTCGTACCGCGAATGCGTTGTAAACAAGAAAAGCGTCCGGGCCACTACAATTCCCTGATATGCGGTGAAATCAGGGCACGCCTTTACCTGCCGATCACATTGAACGCCGAGAAGCTGGTGGAAAGGACTGCTCCTCAAACCCTGGTATATCCAGACAACAAAAGGAAACATCAACAGCCGGGTCATTGGGCACCTTGCAATGTGCACTTACATCTCGAAACTATGCCGAAATGCCGAACAGGTGGAAAGCTCGGACACAGACGCCAGCGGCCAGCCTACATACTGACATCCCCTGTGACTAAATTTCAGAACGTGAAAGGTCACTTTTTAAACCTGTAGCAGACGATACCATTGATACACCCGTAGCAGACAAAATACTCGGCGAGCGCGAGCGGCGCGGACGACCAGCGGCGCAGCGGAGGGATACAAAAGTGCAGGCGAGATCGCGCGACCTATTGCCGGCGTGTGGTTAGCTTCGCCCACACGTAGCTTTGGCTGTGCTCGGACGGAAGCTGAAATGAAGTATAGAACTAATGCTGAATGGCCTAGCGTAGCAAATAAACAGAAAAAGAAGACAAGGCACTAAATGGGTGGTGCAGCTCTGCATAACCATACAGTTGGAGTTCAACTTTGTTTGTTTTTTGCCCCTTCCAGAGCCTGGGCTGTTACCAAATGGTATTCAGATACCTGTTCTACTGCACACATGTGGAAAGGATGCTATCAAAGTGAGTGACTTTTATTTTTTAAGCTTGCCAGCATGTCTTGGCGATGCAGGTGATAATGTCATTGTTATTTCTCTGGTATTGTCCTTGGTGATGTAAGCTAGTGCATGTTTATTTGAAGTCGCCTAGACGCAAGTGTATCCTAGCTGCTACTTCCTTTGGTTGAATTTCTCTGTCCTTGCTGCAGCATTCTCGGCACTTTCTCTTTGCATATTTGCCAGAATAACTCTGGGGGAAGGAAACTAGCTACTGTGTGTTAGCACACCAAACCAGCTCAGTGCACTTAATAATAATAATAATGGTAATGATTTTTATTTGCACATTTTCTAGTATCTCCTGGCAGTGGTTTCCCGGGGATTGAACCCAGGAATCTTGGTTTGGATGCTCACACAATGCCGGCATGCTTTCGTGCATTCACCACTGTGTAACACACCTCAAAAGGCCCCGCCGGGTTCATCTGTTGTACTGCACGGGCCAGATTTCTCAGTGGCAGCAGAGAGTCTAGTTGCCGCATTTTAATATCCGACTGAAGACGTGCTTTCTAAATGCTTCCCAATTTCTGTCTTAACGCAGAGTGCATTTTAGAGCCGAGTTTCATGAGAAAAGCGACACGTTCTGCTCGACCGTTCGGCGCAAGGGCAGTGGCGACGACGATATTCTTTGCATACACAAATCTTCTGCGTACGCTATTCTAAAACTCTTCAATGACTGCGGTTGACACACTTTTCGTCGTTTACCGTACAACTGTGGTGAGGTTGTTGACGGTACTTCCGGAGAAGTTGCTGCACCCCTCACGGCTCTCTCTCCGGCACCTCCCGCCAGGGCATGGGTGCTGGACAAGCGCAGCAAGCGCCACGGCACGCCGTACCCCACGAGAGCCTTTGGGCTGCGCCAGCGCATGGTGGACTTCGTCAAGAACCTGCAGTACTTCATCACCGTCGAGGTCGTCGAACCTTCCTGGCACGTCTTCCAGGACAAGATGGGCAGGGTGAGCTCATTTCGTTTGCCAGACGTCTCGTTGCCTTGTTGTTTTTTTTTGTATTTTATGTGTCGCATAAATTGATGGAGCTTTTCTAAAATGTGGATTGTTTATTAACTGTACCCTTACTCCCAAAAATTTTTCCCCCTCTCCGTGCATACTCTATGGCAGGTCATGTCAGCACTGCTGGTTTCAATGTTGTTAGATATCGAGTCATGGTATTGCGTAATGTCGAATCGCGTGGCACCACGTGTCACTGTGCCGTGATGCCACATTGCATGACATCACGGTGTCATGTGACACTGTGCCACGTGACGCGATGTTGCATGACACTACAACTTGACGTCACGTCACTAGCCATGCCACGTGACCCTGGGTCACACGACACTATGACCATGTCGCGTGGCATCAAGTCACACGCTCCCGCGACATCACAGCTTGACACGTTGACCATGTCGCGTGACGTCTAATGCATTCGAAGCAAATTTGAAAAATATTTTTTCATTAGAAGATTTTTGAGAAGGTTGCTGCCTATTTCTTAGTTTGCCAGAGCGACTAATGATGGAATTAAGGCCCGTAATGTTTCACTGCTTGTTTGACTGGATTACTAGTTTACGAGGATTCTGAAGAGCAATCTGCCTTTGACCTATGATATCTGCGAGTGTTTTGTTTCTATTCACAGGTCTGTTGTAGTGTAACTGGGAATAAACCAGTCTTCCTCGGGTTTGAGTTTGACGGTGCGGGTTTGCAGGTGCAGACGATTGACGAAGTGCTTCAGCTCCACACGGAGCTGACGGACTCCTTCATGAGCCTGTGCATGCTGTCCAATTACCCGGTCTTCAAGGTCATCTACGGCATCCTTGGGCTGTGCCTCGACTTCGCCTCCTTCATAGTGAGTGGCCGCCCAGAGACCGTTGGTCACTAGTTTACTCGATCGAATCTTTACTTGGATCAACAAGATTTATTTTGACATGATGAGGAAGTGCAGTGGAGAGTTGGAATAAAGATAAGAGAGCAGCTGAGAAACGAAATTTGGCAGAGCCGAAATTCAAACTCCGGATCTCCTTACTGCTGGTAATAAGGTAACGAAAAGCTTAAAACCCAGCTCTTCCGAATTTTGTCCTTTACTTGCTTTCTTATTTTTAGTCCCATTTATCAGAATGGTTCGTTCATCTGCATACTTCGATTGATGCAACAAAGATGCAGGCATGGTGGGGAAAACTTTAGTGATGCTTACAATACTGGTATGGCCATTTGAGACACTGTTCGGGTCGAGGACCTGGAGTAGTAAAGCGTTTTGCCTGAGCAAACTGACTTTTTTATAGTGCCGTACTCTCGTAAATAACTTGAAGAGTTAATCTGTGGAAAAGCTTTAAGGTTCCACCGATTACTCTTCAGCTGCTGGTAATTGCAGAATAATCATTAAGGGAAATGAACCGGAACAAAGTTGTCACTTCCAGGTTCCATTCATGCTACAGCCCCTGTAGACTCGCATTAATTCAAACTCCAGGAAGCTACGAATTTGGTTTGAATTAGCATGCGGGACGAGTAGGGGGCTCTGAGATCTGGTAGTAACTCAAGAGCTGGGGATGTCATGGATGAAACGTTTCATGTAGCCGCTCAACGTCTATACAGGAGACGGCACTGCGGTCAAATGCGTATATAATCGCGTTAAACTTTGCATGCATTGGCTCAACGTTTATAGACGAGAGGGCACTGCGGTCAGATGCTCAAATGCGTATATAACCACGTTCCATACCACACATTCTCTTTCAGACATGGACCGTTGACTTAAGCGGTGGAGATGCGTTCCCACGAGCCTTTCGGGTTGCGTTTCGACTTCATTATTACTGTTTTATGTTCGGTGAAATGCAGAGCCAGTGGTTCTTCTAGTGGATCAGCTTGGATCCGCTAGAAGCCGTGCACCAGGGCTTCTAGCGGATCCAAGCACACTGGGAGAGCGGAAGGAAAGGAAACAAGGTGCACAAGCGCTTGGAATGACGACAAAGAGGGCGGTGCAGCCGACGCGGGTCGCACAGCGGCAAATTTTTGAGAAATTTTTATTACCTACCTGAGAGTCTACTGATTTTGAAAATGGTGCCTATTGAATGATAACTAATCTACTGAATAGACCTATTGCTAAATTACCCAAGCATCAAGGAGAATGCTGGGAATGATGTTTCAAGTGCCTTACGTGCGCCGGCCCCTGCAGCAGTAACTGTTCTAAAGCAAAAGCCTAAAACAAATGGCATCTTGCACACACGTTCGTGAACGCTTTATTTTGGTTATTTGCTTTGAATCTTTTATTCAGGGGAGGCGTGTATGAAGGTCACGTGCAAATAGCTAGTCACGTGCAAATAGTGGATTTTGAAGTCGAAGCGAGGAGTGGTTTTAGCCAAATATTTTCAAATCGAGTTTTGAATAGTTTTTCTAAGCCTTCTGCTACTGTTGCTCCACGCTTGGATGAAAACTAAGCTAAACTCGTGGAAGTTGTTCCTAAGCTTCCACATGTCCATTTATAGGCTAATTTTAATTTTATATTTATAAACTGTCACCTCAGAAAGCCCTGCCTTGGTATGGCAAGTAAACTATGAATTTGGCATGAAATTAAGCCTATAGAGATGGCCAGCTATACCTAATTGAGTGGATTTACAATTCTTGCTATACCCAACTATTCTTTCTTCAATTTCGGATTTAAAAGTGAAAAAAGTAATACTCACAAATAATGAATGCAGGTTGTCAGGGTGTCGTACCTAAGATGCGTACTCTTGCATAACAGCCACAGCTTAATTTTTAGCATTTTACTGTAGAGTAGTTATCAACACCCACAAAGTTTCCGTTTCTTTCTAAATGCACCAGGCATGTGCAAACACCATCCCGCTTTCAAAAGTGTGCTTTTCTCCAAGCACGCAATTGCAATATCCCTACTTCTCCAAGTGTTGATCGCGGCCGGTTACCCAGCTAAGGGCACTTCTTACCGAGTACCGGTGCGCTGTGGAGAAGCAACATTTTCGGAAGCGAGCTCCGCAGGCGGTGCTTCTCCGCAGTACACCGGTGCACGATAAGAAGCACACTCAACGGGGTAACTCGCCACGACCAAAACTTGGAAAAATATGAACATCGCAGTTCATCTTGAAGCGAATATCGAGTAGTGTGTTATTCGGAACTACTATTTGAAATCGAATATTTGCCTAACACTAAAATGCACATATAAGTTGCATCGTCTTATAAAGAGCACCGACGGAAGTTTCGTAAAAAAAATGTTACTTGTACACCAGAAAATGTGGTAAACACTTTGGTTAGAATATAGTCAGTTCGGTGTGACGTTAGTAAATATTATTCGTTTCTGCCTCTTTAAATTGATAAATACATGAGTTGTTTACAAAAGGTGCCGGAAGGCAGTTCCACTCGATTCCTTAGTGCAGAAAGTTTCGAGAACTTCTCTTCTAAGGAGTCTAAAGGGGGAGCTCACATTTGGGAGTGGGGCGTGTTTTGGGGGAGTGGGGCGTCAGCTCGCCTTCTCCTTTTGGCCCACAGCAGAAGCAGGCGTCGGAGTGTGAAGCGGCCAAGAGCCAGCTCGGGTACATAGCCGAAGACGAAGACAGCGCAAGGCCCGAGACACCCTTCGACAGGAAGATTGTGGAGGTCGAGGAGTCGTTCAACACCTCGCTGTCGACGCTCAAGGAGGGCATCCGTCAGGGATTGGGCGGAGATCGATCGGGCCGTGGGAACAGCTTGGTGGAGATGCTGCACAGGTGACTGACCTCCACTCTCCTCCTAAAATATATATATATATATACTGTATTTACTTGCATATTGAACACACTTTTTTTCCCTCGAAAAATTGACGCGGGGTAAAAGTTCTGCATTTACACACTTTGTGCAAATGTCATATTAGGTGCCAATATGACACAGCAAGGTACTGTGGCACGTCTCCACTGATGGAGGTGCACCCATGGCTGGCCGGGAGCGTGCCACAGTAACCATGCTTTATAAACTGCGAACCTTTTTAGGGCGCTTTCAGCGTTCCTTTTGTCGAAGGAAAAGCACCCTACGAAGCTCACTCGGCACGGAGAGAAACACGACCATTCTTAGGCCTAACCACTTTCACGATTTCACTGTTCGAAAGTGGACCTCATACGACGGCGTTTGTTGACATCAGGGCATTCGATAGGCGAAGAATGTCCGGGGTTGGGCGATTCTTAGTCAAGTGTGTGCGCCTCTCGATTTCATGGTTGATCACTTCCGCAACTACACACTTGCAGCCATTACGAGAGCAGCTTGGCTTAGCTCGACTTGGCCTGACCGCTTGGTAGCAAAAGAAAATTGGCTTGGTGGCTAGCTAAATTGGATGCGATTCGAGACTTGTGCAGTGATGGAAGTGCTGCGCCAATTGCGCCAAATTGCTCCAAGGACGCAATCCTGCTACATGTAGCGCCAAATTGTCATTTTACCAAAGAATTGCGCCATGCCCGCGCCGAGAGGAGATGTAGCAATAAGAGATAAAAATTGAAGTATTATCAGAGCGCGTGGCGGTACCGCGGTATTTTGCGCGCCGCAACTGTTACGCAAACCGAAACTGCGAGGGCGCATTATCATCATCATCATTGAAAAGAACAACGTTAGCAACATCTGAGACCAAAGCCGCAGAGGGTAAGCGAAGAACCGTCCCACTAAGCAGCCTATTTAAAAAAAAAAAAAAAAAAAAAAAAAAAAGGCCGAGTTTGTGGATGTTTTTAATGTTGGCCCGCCCTGTTCCCGTGGGCTAGCTACCAGCGAAGTCAAAGCTAGCGCGAGCCCAATGCTCTATGCATTCCTGACTCGCGCGTGGGCTCGTGCAGTGTGTGCACCGTTACGGGCTCCATGCGCGCGCTTGTAGCTTCGGCTGCGCTCGCACCGAAGCTGAAACGAAGTATAGACCGACACGCTGTTTACAAACAAGCCCGCGTTTGCCCACACCAGGTGTGGGCACTGCGCACGCGCAGAAACGGAATTCGAGTGAAGTGAAGCGTCTGCGCATGCGCCGTGCCGTCGACAGCGCCACCGCAGCTGCATGACGTCAGGGACGCGTGTTGGTTTATAGTTGAGTTGCACCAAACTCTGGATGTAGTGCTGGTAAAGCCTCACCGTGCTTTTCGAAGCACAAAGCACTGCGCGACTCGCGCGACTGCGGTGTCTGCTCCGCGGGTGTCGCTTCTCTGCAGCGCGTCGGTGCATGCCAAGGAGCGCACTCAACGGGTTAACTCGCCGTGATCCGATCGTGACTTCGCCAGCACATCGAAAATGAATCGGAATTTTTGAAGCGAATATCAGATACCGCGATATTTGAAGCTGCTGCCCGAAAGACAACTCTAATGTGAACTAAAACATTCCACAACAGTGAGGGTCGTTAGATGCTGCTGCAGATACCTTAAAAGAAGTGCAGGCTGATAAAACTAAATATCCTGTACCAGCAGAACTCAGTGTGACATATTTAATTGTATTTTTTTTTCTGATGCGCAGATAAACATTATTTTAAAAAAAATGTTTTTTTTTGTGTTTACTTTGTTGAATTTTATATATCCTATCTTAAAAAGGCGACAGGCGCTGTGTTCCAATAATAGAGATGGGCTTTATATAGCGATGCAGCATTATTTCATTTTCAAGTAATATGCCAACATATGCCGGACCCTGCTCCAAAAGGGCCACTACCTGCTCCAAAACAACATTTCGCCTGCTACAAGGCCTGCTCCAAAAGGTCAAATGACACTTCCATCACTGCTTGTGGATCCAAAAATTTGAGGTGCGTTTATTATGGGAAAGGGAAAAAGGAAAGGCAAAATGTTGGTACCCGTCTTGGGAGTGCGTTCATTATGCGAGTAAATACGGTATTCTTTTTTTTTTTTAATTTTTAGTGGAGGTGTATTTTTTGTATTCTTTGTACTTGTAATTAAATACATTTTTGTTTCTTTATTTAGTATTTGTATTTTTATACATTTTTGGGGAGTATTTTTCTTAATCACGGGGGCATTAATACTCTATGATATTGGCTTCATTGTTGCGACCTGGCCTCGCTTCGTATACGCCTTCTCTTTTCTCTCTGGGTGTCGGAATTAAGTTCCTAGTTGACATTGAGTTTGTGCAGAAGCTTGGTAGTAAAGCAGGTCGGAAGGGAGAGCTTATTTGCAAGCATGGGAGAATTAACCTAGACGAATGTGCTGCTGCCTCCTGATTTCTTGGAACAGCTGTTTTACAGATGGCTACAAATTGAAAAAAAGCCTATACTCGTTTTCACCGCAAGAAAAGAAGTAAGTTTAGCAACTTTGTTTGTACGCCGCACAAAGTGGTTCTTATGAGATTTGGCTGTCGGAGGAAGAAGAGATGCTTTTGGCATTTGAAACGTGCATGCCTTGATAAGATAAGCATATATAATCTACAAATGCACATACAATAAACTTTCGTTAATTCTACCATGATGGGACTTTGAAATTGGGTCGAATTATTCGAATGATTGAATTAAAAGAAGGACAGAAAACGGTCAAAATTAAACTTTCTTTTATCGTCCAAAGTACTCACGGATGACCTGCCGCCGTCCGCGTTTAAAACACGTGTCCAAAAGCATACTTCGGAGAGCAGCGTAACTAAACATCACGTCTCCAAAATATTGCGCACTACCAAAAAAAAAACACAAAAAAATAAGTTGTGAGCCGACTTTGGTGCCAGGCAGCCAGACCGTCAACAACAAAAAAAGGAAACAAGAATTTGCGTCTCTTGGCACACAAGATGGACTGCACGCGACGCTACAGAAAAGTGCTTTGAGAGCGCGCGCTGAGAAAGCTTTACGAGTCAACTTTGCCGCCGGGCGGGCAGACCGTCAACGACAGAGAAAAAAAAAACACAAAAGAAAAAGAACTCATGCTTTTTGGCGCTCAAGATGGACCGCACACAATGCTACAGAAAATGCGAGAGCACGCGCTGTCTTCACTCCCGACCACGTGCTATGTTCTCCGCGCTACTCCACGCCAGATTGGTTGCACTGGCTTGTGTCATTCGCTACGGTCCATCCAACAGTGTAGAGGGAGCAGACGCATATTTGCGTGCGTTCGGCTTTGCAGCAAAAGGCCCGCGTTTCGCCGTACGTTGGTGGCTTTTCTGCCGTAGTGCCGTGCAATGTGAGCCCGCGTGCATTCGCTCCGGGCGAATTATCCTATGCAGATTCTTCCTGAGTTCGAACTATTAAACTTTTCCTCCCATAAAAATGTATAGGCGCTCGCCGGGACTTTTGAATACGATTGAATTAAACGAAAAGTCGAAAAACCGAGGTCGAACTAACGAAAGTTTACTGTACGTATATATTAATTCTCTACATAAAGAGGGAAATTGGTAAAGCTCTGCGAAAAGCCAGACTCTCGGACGTAGAACTACGTCTTTCTCTACACTTGGAAGGGGGTGCAAAGTTGGGAAGTCGACATCATGAAAACTTGGTCACCAAAGTGACGTCACGCGTGTCAAAATAAATCTGAAGTTATTTTGATTGCTGAAATAACAAAACAAGAACTTGCGAGCTCTCTTGCGTCACAACGCTCTGTTTGCATCGTGGTACACTAATGACGTGGCAAACGCGCTATCGCGTCTACCACGGAGGTGCCGACGGCTCCTTTCATCCGTGTGTGCTTCTTCCCGAAAAAACTCCATATAATGCGTTTGAAGTGGCCCAGTAGCACGCCCAGGTTTTTTCCGTTGAATTATTTGGCTCATAATTCCACATATGCGACTCGGAGACGCCAGTGCGGGAATCTGCAAAATTGCTTCTACGGTACTCCGAGCCTCGGGCATTCATTTCTGGCGCACCCGCCATCGTCATGCGGCACACGTCCGCGGACATATCTCCAGCTGCAGCAAGCAACGCATATGGGACGAGTGGACGTGGCATGGCCTTTCTCATATCACCCCCTCTCGTTTCTTGTGCACCCCACATGTAGTTCTACCGATATTTATGCAGCGTAGTACACCTTTGCGCCGACCAATTTTTTGCCACAGCCCTTGAGGTGAAAACGAGTGTGGAAGCGCTTTACTTGGAAAATATCTCGGGTGGGGGGGGTTTGTGCACTTGTAAACCGGTGCACCACACTGGACGTGGTGAATGATAGAAACGCGGCCGACAACTCACTTGGCGATTTTTCTTTTTTTCCCAGGATCGACTTCAACGAGTTCTACTCGACGAGCCGATCCTCCGGTACTCTCTGAGCCTTCTGCACTTCTGTACTCTGCACCGATCTTGAGTGAAAAAGTGTGCCAGCTGCAAGTAGCCATACTCTGAGGGTATGTCACGACGCATCGGACCGCGTCGACCGCTCCGCCGTGTAGCGCTTCAACTCGACGCGGTTAAACAATGTCTGAACTTCGAGTGCTTCTACACAAAGGAGACACTGGACGTGAATTGAGGAAGTGGCGTGCATGCCAATGTTTTTCGTTGCCTTGGGCCAGGGGCTGGGCATTCAAAAGACGCGTCCCGTCGTTCTCACTCTTGTCGGCAACTAGAGCGACTCGACTCTTAGGTAATTATTTTCCAAGTGAATGAGCGTGAAGGAATGCTATAGCTACTCCAGAATTTTAAAGGGACATCTGGAGCATCCAGAGTGCTCAGACGCCGAGTGCAGCAATGTTCAAGCGCTCGGATGCCGTCGTGTGCTCTGGCAGTGGAATCTCGCTCAAACTTGCCAAGTGTTTTGGCGGCACGACAGAGTCTAAATCGAAGTGCTCTAAGCCTCGAGTAGAGCGCGACACGAGCGCCCCGGGCGTGACGCAGCCTCGTCAACCGTGCTACGAGAGTGCCAATGCTACTAACGGCCTCCTGACCTCGCAGGCCGAGGTTGGAACGGTGACCATTCGTTTCTGTTTTAATTGCTGCCCGTCTGTGTTTGTTGTCTCGCTACTTACCGCGGTCGTTGCAGGAACGGGTGTCTGCCGTCGGTGCGGCATTACGTTCCGGTTTTGTTTGTGCGTACCCCTCTTCGGGTTGTCAGTCGGTGCATCGCTCAAACGTGTCTACCGTGCAAAGCTGCAAAATCGCGTTGTCCGGCCCGGCGCGGGTGGGCCGAGCACTGCGTCGCAGGACGAGGAAAGAAAGGACGTCGACACTTAAAACCCGTTCTTTATCGCTTTGCCAAGATAGTGCCACTACGGTCGCTTACAGCCTGACGAATGCAGGGCATGGCTGACTCTGTCTGTGGTTTGTTCTTTGGCATCCTTACCGGCCGGTGCCACCGTGTCGTTGGTTCAGAAGCAATGGCTAGATGCACAAGGCTCGCCGAGCCCCGCGTTCCTCAGGGCGTCGGCGACAATGCCCATTTCATCCTGGACTGTATGTTTTAGTTGTCGTGCACCGGCACAGTTGTTACGATGGGGTTCGAGTGTTGAGAACGTGTAGAGGCTGTCGCAGTATTCAGCGTCTCCATCGAGCTGGGTTTGAAGGGGCGCCGAAGCAATGTTTGCATTTTGAGACTGGCTCACACATTTCCATTTGAGTGTGCGCAGGTGCACGACACTCCTTCATCACGATGAGAGAACAGATTGGCACGCCAGCGACCTCTGCCGGGTAGTCCTGGAACTGATTTTGATCCGTGTGTAACGAGATCAAAGGTTTTTGCAGTATTTGCAAGACAAAATTTGTGCACTAAGAGATTAGTTGCTTGTATCTTTGTCAGAATTATTTCAAGCTTGCGGTAAAGGATTGACGCGTAAAAAAATTATAAAAATATGCACGCAAGTCGGAATCATTCCAGCGCTATGCGATAGGTGGCGCGTGTGTATTCCCTCGCCATAATGCAGAGAGCGAGTCAACTGCTTCTTGCTCGGGTGTTTCGGTGACGTCGAAACGACTCCAAGCTCCGATTAACTTTGATTGAAAAGATAGTGGGTAGACCTCAGCGCTAGATGCCTTGGAGTCTACCCTCTATCTTTTTCAATTGGCCAATAAGAGCTCGGCATTCTGACATCATCGCAACCCCCGTGCAAGAAGCAGACGCACTTGCGCTCCGCATAGTTGCGAGGGAACTCGGACGCACTCGAGCGTGCCGAGGTGCAGATCTGCAAACCGGCCTTCAACGTCCAATCGCAACACTCGGTGTGAGGTCCCGCAACCATAACTTCGAGATGCGGTGGACTGTTGGGTCCTTGGAGATCTGTTTGCATTAGAGTTGGCACTTGTCTGTCACATTTCAACATCCTGTTGGCTTTTTTGTTATTTCTTTTAAGGTACAGTGTTACTATGTATTAGCTCGAGTTCCTTGCTTTCGAACATGACTCATTTGCACACACACTTGTGCAGTATGATACCAACCAAAGCTACTTGAGCTTTTGCTTCGGTTCATGTAGAGGCAACGCCAAATATGCCACCTTTTGTGGGGCGTTACGTAAGTCAGTGCAGCTTCCAACACAGGTGTTCCTAAATAACTTGATGGGCTGACGGTTGGTGGTGCCATTACTGCATTATTGCCAACTGCATATCACTTAGCATGCAACGCTTACAAAACTGATATCACGAGTCCCTGTCTCCACTTAGCCTTTGATTTGCATGCGTCCCCATGCAAATGAGACGCTAGATGAAGCCACGTGCTCACAGCATTATCTTCGACAGCATAGTACCTAAGTTTATTTATTTTGCCTACACATGGTTGCTTGTTCTTTGTATGTCCCTTATGCTTTTGTATCTTGAGTCACTGATTTAACTTGATGCCTGTGTTTACGACAGGGCACGTAAATGACGCCACACAATAGTAGGCGAGCAGTTTTTTAGTTTTTTTAGACTAGTTTATTATATTGGGTTCAAGTAAAGCCAAAGAGATTGCTTCAGCATCTCACTTCTTCAGCCAGTTTCGATCTGGTATTGTCTTTTTTATGACGAATGGATTTAGTATTGCTCTTAGACCCCTCAGGTCACAAAGATGTGCCATGTACAGTTTCTGTTGCTGCATTCATTGAACCATGTTAACCGTGCGTAAAAGCGGTGTGTTCTAAGCGGTGTATTACAGTGGCTGAAATGACTGACATTTCGTGTTGTTGAATAATAAAAGATAAGTCCTATATATGCTCGGACATTCGTCTGGACCAGTCCAACGCCTCAAGCGTACCTCAAAAACGTGATTTACGCACACCATCGCGCTCGATGGTATACTGTTTTTACCTTACAATGTACCGCAATGGACGCTACAAGCTACACGAGGCAATCTGTAGCTTGTAGCACGTCTAGTAACTTTGCGCTCCCCGCGTTGCTCCGGAAGAACACATGACACCAATACACCGTTTTCGAAATTGAGAAATGATGCGTAGATTATGCGCAGCTGTCATTAGTTGGTCTTGTCGCTTCTAACGTGAAACCTGCGATCAGTTCAGAGTCTGCGATGAAGGCACGGACACAGCACTCGAGTGGAATGTGTTTCAATTCTAGTGCATTCCGAATGCTGACAAAGCGCTCGTGTCCCATGCATGCTCGCAGGGCGGGACCAACCAATGGCGGCCGCACATAATCTATGCGTTATTCGGAAAGGGCCTATTGATCCCTGTGGCTCGTGGCATCCTTTGCGGTCCGTTGTAAGGCGAAACAAAGAATAGCTAGTGCGCATGCAGACTTGTACGTAGCTTAACAAAAGAAAGGGCAGTCGCCTTCATCTTTGAAGTCCTCTAATGTATGGAATACAGTATTTATGGAGCGACTGTTTCGGTTTGTTTGGAAGCCATTAAGCAGTAGTTTCGGCAGTGAAGAACCTTTATTGTTTATCAATTTTCCTGCTATATTTAGCGGGAAAAGGGAATTGGTCTTTAGGTCATGTGATGTCAGTCTTCCCGCTAGATTTGACGGGGATGACGTCATTACTCTGCTCTCTTTAGCCAGAAAACTGAATTGTTTAGGTCGTGTGACGTTGATTTCTTGCTCTAAATTTAGTGGGAAAACTGAATTCAAATAAATCCCGTGACATCAAGTGACAAGTCCCTGCTTAATTTAGTGGAGAAACTGAGTTGATGTATTTGCCTCGAGACCGAACCGTGTTGCCATTGTGCAGCCGAAATTGGAAACATGCGAAAGCGGGGATAGCGCCGTGCATCGTCTGCTGCCGGTGCAGATTCAGAAGCATGGATCTGGGCTATGCAAGCCCCTTTTCCGACCGAGCTAGACCCTCCTCATTAAATGTTTGATTTTTTTGTCATCTTTTTTCCTTGCTAAAGGTTCTGTTGTATCGTTTCCCACACGTGGAAATTCAGCGAAGCTAGAAATACTAAGTTGGATGCTTCCATATTCTTAGTGCTGTGTCCCGTCCCAGCCCCCTGCCCCAGCACCCATCGTACGACCCCACTCGCCCCTTATCCCACATTCAGCCCCCATCATCTTTGAAAGCTTGTACATGTCTGTTTTTGTCCCTCTGTTTGTTTTGTGCTTTCTTACTGTTACATTAGTGCTGTGGATTGTACAACCTTTGGTCCTACATATTTTTTTTATCTCGCACAATCCACAGCTTTTATAAAACATTGAATATTGAGGCGAGCTGGGGATTCATTAACAAATTAACTCGACTGATTGCCACCCTTTAATAGACTAATCAATCAATAAACCAGTTAATTGATTATTCTACAGTCATATTACATGAAATTCGTTAAACTACACGTTTTTTTACTATTTTTAGTATGTCATAAATGGCATATTGCGTTCCCATTTTAAACTTCTTGTTGTGACACGCCTAGAGAAATTTAAACACTGGAAGCCTTTTAAAGTGAAGTAATTCTTAAGTTTATATTTAAACAGTATAATCATTCTCTATGACAATCGCAAGGATGCTGAAGTGGTTTACCGTGCAAGCTTGTGTCCTAAAAGAAATATGCCGTAAATATTAAAGCAGGCATTGTTTTTTACTTTTTTCTGACTTTCTCAAGCACAAGATTCTTATTAAACTGCAAAAAAAAAATAATAATATTGCAATTAGAGCATTATTTGAATAATCTGAGGGTTAATCGATGAACTTCCCAGTCCGCATATCCGTTAGGTGAGGGCGGAGGGTAATCGGAAGGTCTCAAGAAGGTCGCTAGCCCTCATCAGTAAAAGAGTGTCGCTGCGGCCGATGCTGTCCGTGTCACGGTGCGAGTCGTTTGTTGGAGTTTCACAGTCAACTCGGTTCAAATAGAATATTATTTAGCCATAAATTTATACACTCCGTGCGGGAACTATAAAGGGCGCTTTGAAAAACGCGCGCAGCGCCGCTAGCGGAGGAGCTGGCGTTCGACCGCGAGGCGCGTTCAGCAGCCTGCGGCGCCTTTTCGCATGCCAAGCTGTGGCGGCGGAAGCGCGCACGGACGAAACTTTTGCTTTTTGAGCCGATACGTTGAGGGTGACGTTGCATGAATGCTGGGGCAGACCTAACAAAGGCATTTAGCTGTTCTACTCTTCTTATATATTGAGTTTTAGTCGTTATTAGGGGTAATTTCTCTAGTTGCGGCCAAAAAAGGAGTTGAAGCAATTTTCCGAAAAGCAAGACGGCCGCCACCATAATTGCTTTGAGTGGGAAATTTATTTCGCTCGTCGCTGTAAACGTAGGACTGCTGGAACGATGACATTGGAGGCGAGTGAGATGTACACTAAGTTTCTGCACGAAGTGTGCCAAGTTTCATTAAAACGGCAGGCGTGAAAGTTGTTTCTAACGAATAAAGAAATAAAGCTGTACGGTATATCCAATACTGGACCCAAAATGTTGTGTTATAGCGGGCTGTGCAAAGTGCAGATTTGGGCTCATAGGTGCTTGGACTTGACAGTAACATGACACAGCACTTATTATACAAAAAAAAAAAAAAAAGGTGGCATTGGGAAACCAGGTGAAAATTTGGTTTGGGCGGCGTAACTCAATGGGAACCGGTTTTGACCATGAAAAGGCTGTCAATAGAATACCACTGGTCGGGGGAGGTGGGGACTTTAGAGGTAGGAAGGGACTAGTGGACTGTACTTTCAATTGAAACAACTTTACGAAAGGTGGTTCCAAAGCCGAGAAAACAAAGTTGTCGGCCAACACACGGTTTGGCCGCCAAGGACTTTTGCGGTCAGCTGTTGTGTAATAACCTGTTGTGCGAGGTGCTGATTTTCGGCCCACAGGTACTTTGACATGACCGTCACTTGGCACAACACTTATTATAACAAAAATAGTTGGCATAGCGAAACCAGGTGGAAATTTAGTTTGGGCGGAGTAACTAAATGGGAACTGGCTTTGACCGTCAAAGGCTGTCAGAAAATACCACTCATCGTGGGAGGTGCACACTTTACAGGTAGGAGGGACCAGTGCACAGTACTTCCAGTTCGAACCACTTTGCGATAGGTGGCTCTAAAGCCGAGAAAAAAAAATTGTTGTCTACAGAACTCGGGGTGTCAGTGTTTCCACATCCAAAAGGAGGCTGATCAAGAAAGAAAGCACACCACATAAACTTCCATACTCAAACGCCGATTCTCCAGTGATTCCGAGTTTCATGGTTGTTTTCTTTAGATTTATATTTGTCACTTTTTTACCGTTCGAATCTTTCTTCATGAAGTACAGATTGCGTGCCATATTTGTCCGGAATTATCATCGAGTCGTACGATGGGGACGAAACTTCTTTGGAGGGCATTCCTCCAACGAAATTGGCACTGCATACCCGCGAGTGTGGGATGGCATTTCAGTTCGTCCCATCGGCGCTGACACATGTAGGCGTTACTGGTACGAAAACAAACGCAGAGCGCAAAGCGGCAGTATAGAAATTGTCAGCCGTGTCTACACAGTGGCAGACATGATCGGGACACCAAATTTCTCGCGCCGTATGGCACGGCTCCATCGTTGTCGCTGTCCCACAAAACATCGGCGAGGTGAAAAACTGTGAAACTTTGTCTCCACGATATACGACGCATAACTATTGAGCACTTAATGACGCAGCATAGGCTGCGTCATTAAGCTGTGAACCCAGAGCTGTGAACCCAGCACAACAGCACCACTCCGACTTCAACGCGTACCAACGTACGCGGCGCGGTTTCGGTTTCGTTTTCTCTGGGGTGCTCACTGCCTACCTTCGGTACCGGCCGCGCGGCCGCGCGCCAGTCGCGTCGCACGGAGTGTATAGTATTAACCTCTTGACATCCGCAGCCTTTAGCAAGATAATTGAAGCGGGTGAACCCACACTACTGAGAAAAGCATCTGATAACACGAACGTTGCTGCGGTGCTCGGTTACACTCGTTTATTACACTCGTGTCAGATATATTAGAACAGTTTGTTTCAGTTGTCTCGTCAGCATGCAGTTTGCAGATCGTAACTAGGAGAGGCACTTTCTCCTCATCGCAACATAGAATTGTTCAGACTCCGAAAAACTTACCCACATAATGGCACAGTAAAGGGAAACATTGGCTGCAGCGGAACTCAATAGCACGGTAATTCTCAATACAGCAGAAACTTCTCTTCATGTGAAATATTTATATTACTGCAAAAGCTAAAAGTTACAACCAATTTGACAGCCCACAGTGCCAGTATTATGTTACCCGGGTTAAAATTATTGTTTTGTTGAGATTCGACGCAGGTCAACCGATACATCTATTTTAAAAGAAGCAAATATTTAACATAAATGGTGCGATTTACCTGAAGACAGGCACCCGTCGTGGTGATCTATGCTTCCCAACATCTGCCCAGAGCAGACGATGCGTCCGCGCGAGCGATTATTAATGCGAAAGCATTAACTGTCTCATGGAGCGAGCTGATGTCATCAGTCCGAAGTGCGAAAACGGCAGTTAGTTTCCTTCGGTTCCATTGGCTGGCGCGCGTCGACAATGCTCCCATCGGCCGCTGCGCTTGGCAGTTTCCACAACTGCTCACCCCATGGCGCTCCGTGTCCATCAGCGTGGAGCATCCAAGGTCACCAGGGGAGCAAACGCGCCGACCGGCAACGAAAAGTATGCAGCAGACGAAAAAGGGAACGGACGAGCGGCTTGCATGGTTTCGCATTCACAGCTCATAAGAAATGCCTGGTGCACCTCGATCTTTTTTTAAAATTTGGGCTGTACGCTGGTAACACGATTCAATATTCACTGAA